GGAGCGGTACCTCTCCTGGTGGGCATCCGTGGCGTGGTCCACAGCCTGTCCCTGCGAGCCTGGCGCGCGCGGTGTTGGCTTGGCGCACTCACACTTGCTTGCCGTTTACTCCTGCTTGTGCACGGCCCTGACGCTCAAGTCTGGGCTGGTCCTGGGGGAAGGCCCGCCTGGGCTCGCCTAGCATCTCAGCTGCAGGATGCCAGGGAGGAGGGATCAGCTGGATGGAGATGTCTCCTGTAGCCCCGTGAGGGCAGGGGTCTGTGCCCCGGGGAGGGTGGGAGACACATGCCATGCTGCAGGCTGGCCACAGCTCATGTATCCCTGCACCTTGCCTGGGTTTGCACCACTTGCTGCAAGGCCAGCCCGGGTGCTGGGGGCACCCTGTGATGGGACCCTTGGAAATGGCAAGCATCCCTTCATGCTGCCATTGCAAAGGGAGGCAGGGAGGGCCCTGAGGCTGTGATGGAGCCAGCACAGATGCCCAGACCCATGCTCCAGCCCTGAAGGTGTCTGTTGGCTGTGATTGCTAAAGACTTTGCTGCCCTGAGCCTCATCAGACCAGCCACCATCCTGGAGGGAGTGAGAGCATCCCAGTCCCTCTCATCCCCACAGCAAGGGGGAGGTGGAAAGGAGCCAGTGAGTTGGCTCAGGAGGCGCAGAGCATCCCAAGAGCTAGTCCAGGATGGCACTTACCCTCACCCTGGTGAGCGGGTGGCCAGCTGGTCCCTGGGGGTAAGGAGAGGGGTCTTGCCAGTGGGTTCGGAGGAAAGCCAGGACCATGGGAGCAGGTCCCAAGGCACCCCCTCTCCCATCTTGATGGATGCCGCAGGAGGAGGTTCAATAGCCACGGCAATGAGCGTGAGGACTCCTGTCTCTGCAGTCCCAGCTGAAAACAAGGCCTGGAGCTCATGTTTCAGGTGTCCTTGCAAGCGGCTGGCAGGATTAGCCCAGCTTAGCCTCACACAGGAGCAGTGGGTTCCCGCATCCGCTGTGCAGTGCATGGAGGGGGACTTCTGCATCTGACCCTTTCCAGTCCCACAAGGGTCCCACGTGTTTCAGCTGCCACTCAGGGGGCTCAGCCTTCCCACCATGGGCACCAGCCCCTGCCAGCAGCTCCCCCCCACCCCTCCCTCCCAGCTGGGCAAAGCTCTCTGCAGAGAAAAGGGAGC